AGCCGACAATAATGGACCTGAATAGGTTTGGACAAGGCCTTGTCCAGCTGTTGTTTGACATAGGAGGTGATCTTCCGGAACACCCAAGGACCGAAGGTTAGAGCTAATAAAAACACAAATATAGGCCCTACAAGAGGTAAAATATAAGGAAGAAAGCCATGAAGATTACTTAAAAAAGGATTTTCAAACAGTTCTCTCCGACGATTGACCAGATCATCCTGTAATTTCTTTATCTTGTCCCGGACTACACCGGACTTATTAGCATAGAAGCAACATTTCTCCTGTAAGGCCAAGCATATACCCCCTTGTTCGGCTGTCAAGAGATCCAATCCCCTTCTGTTCTGCAAGACCACCTCGGCTAGAGAGTCGATCTGGTTCTGGAGATCACTAATAGTTCCTGATAAGGTTTGGATATCATCAATGAGCTGTGCAGAGAGTTTATTATAGGAGTATATGGCGACTCCCAAGCCCCTAGACCCTGTCGCAAGGGCTCCCGTAATGCCCAAGCCAACAAGCAAGGGAATAACAAATACGGCCCTTTTATGTCTTCCAGCCATAAAGTCGAGGCTGGGAACCGGAACAGGCTCGTTCCCTGGAACAATATCCATCTCAGGTAGAACGGAGGCAATGGAGCAATAACCAGTCCAATTTACGGGCAACGCTGGGAACGCCATATTCCCTCCGCAGAGAAAAACATGGCCTAGAGGGGGACACAGGAAACTGCTAGTACGAAGGACAGAGGAACAATTCACATGAGGGAGAAAACCCACATCAATGGAGACAGAGGCATTGGGAGTGGTACCCTCAAAGCAGGGGGCTACAAAGAGTGACTGATTCAAAGGGATCGGTTGAATCCTAAAAGGGGGGCCTAGGGAACAATTTACCTGAAGGGAAGGATTTTCGGCAGAAGCAAGGTTACCAAGGCGGGGTAACGCCATAGGAATGGGAGTACCGAGGGGCAAGCAAAGCCAGCAGTCCGCAGCCAACATAGGATTGGTCTTATTTAGCATAAGGTGAGTGGATTCCAAAATAACAGACGTCTGACTATCGAGACTCAATCTGTGAGGCCGGGGACACGCAAGAGGATGATAATGGAGGGAGGGGAATTGGGCCCGAATGAGTTCCTCAATGTGCTGCTGGACCTCATGTTCTCTGGCTCTGTCAGAAGGGCCCCCTCCGTCTGATACATGTAGGGGTGCACGTTCGGGCCAACAGACATCGTGGCCAACATCGGCAGACGAACAAGACGCCTGGGCATATTTGTTAGTATGTCCCTGGAGAGTGGCGGAGGTTTCCCCACCAAAGGTTCCTGCATAGGCTTGCTGTAGAACTGCCGTCAAATAAACCTTATTATTAGAAGAACACTGCTGGACGCTGTTATAGCAAAGGGAATGAATAGCTTGATAGTAGCGACAGGGGGAGGGGCAGGGACCAGGGGACCCAGGCAGAGAGGGAATGACTCGGGGTTTGGCAACACACTCCCACCGTTGCTTAAATCCCCCACCGGTGGATGGTCGATAGGTGAGATAGGCGGTGTATTCATTGCAGTCGTTGGAGTAAGAGAACTGCTGCGGTGTTACCCGTGTATACCCTCCACAGCAGTCACAGGGTGGCCCAAAAAGGGAGGCGAGGAGATCGTTGCCGGCCGGGGCGTCAAAACCAGCAAGGCAGACCCTCAGGACTGCCAGGAGGTACCAGCGTAGGGGTGATCGTTTTCCAAGCATTTCCTGTAGATAAAGAAAAGAAATATTTCTCAGAGAGGTTTGTCCTCCCTGGAAGGAAGGTTAACTGGAGGCGGAGAAGCCATTTCACAGGAATCAACTTGCTTTACAAGCCTCTCAGGAAGCCAGCTAGCAGATTGTTTTTCTTTAATATATATACAGACCGAACCCCGACCCCAAATAAGAACAGGGTCGGGACCCTGCCACTGGTTAGTAAGGGGATCTTTCCACAGTACTTTGGCATAATTGTGCTGGGATTCGGGGTGCCAAAACCTATCAGCCGCTGATTTGCCAGTATCGTCCAATTGAAGAAAATTTAATATGAAAAGAGCATGGCTGACCAGGTTCCGAGGGGATCCTTTGACCGGGTAGAATGCCCCTCTTCGAAGTTTGGTAATAGTGTTTTTTAAGGTTTGATGGGCCCATTCCACAATACCTTGCCCTTGAGGATTATAAGGAATGCCCGTGACATGAGAGATACCAAGGGTGGCACAGAAGGAGCGAAAAGCTGTGCCAGCATAACCAGGGCCATTATCAGTTTTAATAGACTCGGGCTTGCCCATAACAGTGAGGCAAGAGAGGACATGAGCTATCACGTGGCGGCAGGCCTTACCGCTCTGCAATGTGGCAGAGAGAAAGCTGCTGTGAGTATCGATGGAGACATGCATATATTTTAAATGACCAAAATCAGAAACATGAGTCACATCCATTTGCCATAGGGCGTTAGGAAAAAGACCTCGTGGGTTAATCCCCTTACTGGGTGGAGGGGGCAGAAAAGGAACACAGCGCACACAAAGCCTCACAATTTGTCGAGCCTGTTCACGAGTTAAACCATACAGGCGTCTCAGGGAGCTCGCTGGTAGGTGTAAAAAATCATGGGCTTGTTCAGGAGGGGTGAGGCCTGGCAGTAGGGAGCACTGTAAAGCACGATCTGCTACATCATTGCCCTCAAAAATGCCTCCTGAGGTAGACTGATGAGAATAAACATGGAGAATGTAAAGGGGGTTTTTTCGCTGCAACAAAATTTGCTGTAATTCCCTCAGGAGAGAGGATATGGTGGACTTATGAGGTTGGAGGACAGCGTCCTCTATGCATTTAAGAACCTTTACTGCATATAGACTATCAGAGATTATGTTTATAGGCTCAGGATATTTACGGCAAGCCTGGAGGATGGCAAAGAGCTCATTTTTCTGGGTAGAGTCATAGGGGGTTTCTAATACTGTTATTTCCTTGGAGGCCTCATGATAAATAGAGGCCTTATAGTTTTTTATAGCATCAGTGAAAACATTTGGGCCTTGAACAGGTTCTCCCATAACCTTTCGTTGGGGTGGTGCTAAGGTTATTTGCTCTAGCATAGGGAGAAGCAGACAGGAGGAATGAGGACTTATCTCAGCCCATTGGGAGCAATGTGCCCAAGACCAATAGGTTTGCATAATGGCTTCTCGCTGTCCAGGTTCAAAATTCGAGTAAAGTAAAGGTCGTTGTCCAGACAAGTGGACAGCCCTTTGTACTGCAGCTAAGGCTAGTTCCCCTAACATCTCATAATAATTTGGCAGTACCTTGTGAGCCTTCTTTGCATATACAAATTCTAATAATTTGGGACCTTGGTGTATGACACAAAAAGGACTCTGTTGATTGACCAAGGAGACCTCTATTCTACCTTTGGGGTCCCATCTGGCGGTCTGGGCCTGGGCAGCAAGTGAGAATATTTGGGACACTGCTGCCTTAGCAGCAGGAGTCCATGCCCGAGGGGAGTTTAAATCTGAATTTCCTTTTAAGATATCATATAAAGGCTGCATTACAGCAGGAGGAATGGGTGTGCGGGCCCTGAGCCATTGGATCTGTCCCACTAACTTTTGGAAGTGATTCAAGGTGGTTATCTTATCAAGCCCTAATTCAGGAATTTGATTGCTAATAGAAACAGCCTCCATACAAGGCCTAGGTATATAAGTGGGTAATTTTGTTGGACTTTGTCAGGGGCCACCACCAAACCATAATGAGCAAGTGCAGAGATGGTTTCTTTTACTAATCTTGCTAATGTTTCATCACTGCTGGTGGCTAATAAAATATCGTCCATATAGTGAAGTATTGTGGCTTTAGGCCATTTGTCCCTGATAGGGTCCAGCACTCTCCCCACATAAGCCTGACATAAGGTGGGACTGCAGCACATTCCTTGGGGCAGGACCTTCCACTGATATCTTAAATCTGGTCCTGCATTATTGGTAGTGGGTATGGTAAAGGCAAATCTCTTTCTATCTTCTGGGGATAATGGGATAGAGAAAAAACAATCTTGGATGTCTATGACTGTCACAGGCCATCCAGATGGCACTAAATTAGGGGAGGGAAGGCCAGGCTGTAGGGTTCCCATGGGCTCTAGGGTGGTGTTAACCGCCCTGAGATCTATTAACATTCGAAATTTCCCTGATTTCTTTTTTATTACAAACACTGGGCTGTTCCAGGGGCTGGACGTGGGCTCAATGTGCCCCACCTGTAACTGGTGCTGCACTATATCACGTAAAGCCTGGGCTTTCTCTGCAGGGAGGGGCCATTGGGGTACCCAGACTGGGTTATTAGATCTCCATGTTAGAGGAGTGGGTCTGATACAAGAAAATTTTTGCTGTTGCCCAACGGCCCCAATTAAAAATCCTGCGGGGGTGGTATATAAACAGATGCACCACAAGCCTTCAAAATATCCCTTCCCCATAAATTGTATCTCAAACCAGCAACCACCGGGGTCGATTTGGAAAATTCTCTTGCTGTAAAGGGGAAGTCCGAACCACCGGGTAAAAGTCGGAGATTTTCCTGATGCAGCCCCGAGGGCGCATTCCGAGGGGGTGGAGCTTCCATCTGGTAAGCTTGTTGAGGGGCCCTCCTTGCCCCGCCTCCTGACTGGCTTGCAGCATTCTTTAGCATAATGGCCAGATTTGTTACAATTGTAACAAATTGCCTTAGAGCAGGCTCCACCAGATATCTGGCGGCATTGTGCCTTAAACTGACTGGCTTTTCCGTATAGATAGTACAATTTAGTCTCTTTTGTTTTCTGCACTTCTGATAGTCCTCTCCAAGCGGCTGCCTGTAGGCGGGCAATGAAATCCGGGAAGGGTTTTATCAGGACCTTTTTAATCTTGGTCAGGGAGGGCCTTTGTTTCCCCAAAGCCTGAATCTTACAAAAAGCCTGTAGGGCACATTGGGAAACAGCTGCAAACGCTGTATTTAGTGCCTCTTTTAACTCCTTAAACTTCTTCCATTTTAAAGGGGCCCAGGTCCTCCCTCCTTCGATTAAGTGTGGGGGAGGGGGGCCAAAACAGGGGATTCGGATTTGGGTTTGGAGGTTACTGTAGGGACAGTGAGAGCAACAGCAGGGCCAGGAATGCAATCAGCGAGTTCCAAATCAAGGAGCCGTAGTTCCTTAAGCAGCTGTGCTTTCTCTTTCTTAAACATCAACGTCTGTTGGAGGAACTGAATCTGAGAGGGGAGCGAGGTCAAGGGAGTATCAACAGGCGGAAAAGGGGGAAGAGTATGATAAGAAGGGGGAGCAGAAGGGGGCAGAGAAGCATGAAGATGAGGGGTTGGGAGTGGAGAAGCAGGAGCAGCGGGCGCGGAAGCAGAGTGCTGTATAGTAGGAAAACATGCAGGAGCGGTACTGAAATTATAGGGGTCATTATAAGAAGCAGCCTCCTGCTCAAGGTCAGCTGCATCAGTAGGATCTAAGGTATCATTTGACCTCTAGACCAAAGCCTTTTGTAAAACAGGATAAATGCGCTCAACTCTCCTACTTTGGGAGGAGAAATCATCTAAGGGCATGTTGATGGACACAGAATCACAATCCTTCCTAGACTCATCCTCTGTTGCGGGTGGGGCTGGTAATGGACAAGGAGGCTCCGGGGGGCCTCCGTCTTTTTCACTGACAATCTTACAAACCTCCGTCTCAAAAGGACGTATTTTCAAAATATCATAAATACAATTCCAGTAATTGAACGCAGTAACAGGGACCTTCTTGGGCCCGAAAGTTCTAAAATAATCATTAAGACAATGTCCCACCCGTTTCCATCTTTTCTCATCTATAGTTCCTTCCTGGGGGAACCAAGGACAAACGTCCTTTAAAAAAACAAAAAATTGTATAAGATCCTTTTTCTTAACCTTTACTCCCCGTGTCTTTAATGAGGCCTTAAGCCCTTCTACAAATTTTTCATGACTACTAGCATCCTGCCCCATTTTGAGTGTCTCCTTACCTCAGGTCTCTATTCCGCAGATCAGGCAAATCCGCGGCGACCAATTCTCATGTATCGTGACTGCAGTCGTTTTTTCCACAGGAGCACACACCAAAAACCTTTACTCCTTTTAAGGGGGTCTCGGGCCCCACGTTGGGCGCCAAATGTCCCGTCCCGCGGGACATCAACGGAGGTCCGGACCTGTAAAAGAAGGAGGGGAGCAGGGGACACAGGAAATGGAGACAAGACAGGCTTTCTGATCAAGTCTCGTTTATTGAAAGCAAGCTCAGGGTAGTTATACACACAGTAAGAGGGAGTGGGGGAGTTCCACCAATGGTATAGGGGCGGGGTATTCCAGGAAGAGATACAGCTTTGTCCGTAATTTGTTCTTATCACAAGGACAGCTGCAACGCTAGTAATTTTCCAGAGGTCATACTGGGCCTGTGGTCCCTTACAATCTTGGGGTTCAGCAACCCAAAACCCCTATACCTCTTCATCTCCACCCTCTCAGTTCTTTACACTTCTTCATCCCTACCTGGTAACTTGGAAAACCCTAACCTTTCCTCCAATTAGAAAACAGATTACCTAATCTTGCATTCTGGTTTATAACCTGTTGTTTGCTTTTAATGTGTAAAAATCTGTCTCCTCCTGTATTCAGGGTCCAATACCAAGCTGAAGAGGCCTGTTCCCAATTTGTTAATCAGTGGCCACATATGGCTTGATAAACTGATACGCTCAGAAACTCGAACTCGAACCTTTGCTTCCTCAGTTGTTTCACAATGCATCTGATACACTGAAATGCTGTAAAAGTACAATAATTCTATTCTTCAGAACAGAGAAAGAGATAAAAGTCCCTTTTGATTTATTATAATAAACAATCTTGTTCTGTGCTTAACAAAAGAGGCTTGAGTCAAGAGTTAGCAAATACTTACTTGTTGCATTGTGGGTAAATGTAAGGCAGACTGGACCTGCATTGGTAGTTGGTTTCCAACTGGCTGCTCATTGTGATTGGCTGGTGCTTCTGGTGAAGAGGTGGGCTCTTGTCAAGATAAAAATCTGCGATAAAGAGAAACTGAGGCACAGAGATTCAAATATTATCAATTTATTAGCAAAGCTAGTTATTGCCAATAAAAGGGATCTGAAGGTCCTTAGTAGCCAAGGATCCAACTGACAGAGCAGCTCTTTTATAGTTGAGGGGAGTACACAAAAATCCAAACAATATATAGGAGACAAAAATAATGTGGGACTTCAGAGAGGGAGAATGAGTTTTGACTGGCCAGTGTCAAGAGACAGGCATTGTGCTATGATTGGTTGGTGATGCTTAAATTAGACGGAATAGGGAACTAAAGTTACAGGCTTAAGGGAGCTCAAACTCACATAATGAGGGGGCCACACAATACATAGTAGATTGATCATTAAAATGTAATAAATTGACAAAGTAAAGTGGCATATCAATTTTCATTTCCACAATCTGAGGAGGAGACACTGTCCCGTTAGCTATAGAGACAGTCACTGGCCTTTGGTTATCAGGTTTTGGTGCTATGTTCCTGGGAAGAATAGGGTGCATGGCAGTTACTTGAGTCTTCATTCTTGGCTGTTGGTGAGAGTGGGAACTCGGGAAGAGGGCTGAATGAGCGTGGGTGGACCCATGGAACACTGACTTTTTACACTTAATCCGCTGAAGAGGCTGGGATGTTTTAACATTAACAGGATCACTGTAATTCTGTGGAGAAAAGAGATAAAAATAGTATTTAAGATTGACAAGCACATAGGTTGATGTCTATATTCAAGAGTACTTGTTCTTATATTCAGAAACATCCATACTATTTAGCATCCTTGTACACTGTAGATACTTAATGCTTATTGGACTGGACTACATTTTTGACTCCCTGACCTAAATAAGAGAATTTCTTTATGTGACCTTACCAACAAGTCATTACCCAAATAATAGTCTCTGAACACTTGATCTTCTTTTATTTTATACAGTACTTTACAATTTATGTGTTATCCTTACATTAACATTGTGAGTTAGGTACCACAAATATCTTCATCTTCCAGATGAAGAGCCTGAGGCTTAGAAGGGTGAAGGGATTTGTCTGAGGTTATGCAACTGGTCCAGCCAAAGAGCCAGCCCTTAAAACTCCTGTCTCCTCACCCAGGCCCACCGTTCTTTCACTTTTACATCTTGCCTTTCTTATTCCAGCTGTCCTAATACCTCTAAAATTATCTGTTTAGATTTTTTCCCCCCTCTCTAATTTCTAATATCTAAGTTGCTGACTTTTCAGATTCCTTGAAAACAAGAAAGTACCACTATTGTTCCACTATGAATCAGAGCTGTAGTATACTTTATGAAGGTTCATATTTGGGCTTTTCCTCAGGATGTTTTTGGTATATATTTTTCTTCCCAGTGGGATAAAGAAAATTGACCGCAATATCTGTAATGACAGAATTGCTGCTGGAAACTCCTGGAAATGGGTTTTGAGGAATAGACTATTGAAATAAATTACTTAAGTTGCACAGAACCATATTAACATTTTTAAAGTAACTCACTGCAGTAACTCACATTTTGATTTCTTTAAGGAGTTAGTGATGAATTGTTCTCCATAATGATTTGGATAAAAATAACCTTTCCTGATTTTGAAACTCCATCATAAATTACTGTAATTTTGCCTTAAAAATTTTCCACACAGTCATATACTAATACCCTAATGATCTTTAAATTGACTTATAAACTAAATGAATTCCACTGAAAGCCAGAAAACTGTTCAGAATCGACTCCTAAGTGTTTTTTCTTTAGTGCGGTGGACAAAGGCCTGGCCCTGAAAACAGGAAGACCTGGATTCAAGTCCTCCTCGTAGCTATATGACTCTAGGCAAGTCACTTAACCTTGAAGTACCCCCTTACTTACTCTGTAAGACAATAACTTATAGATGAGTTCCTCATATGAATTGTGGGGGGAGTTTGTATTTCATAATTTCCCCACCATAATGTAATGACAGTTGTAAACTAGGGAAGAAAAACAAACAAGAATTCCCATAATCATGAACCTACCTACTAATTATGCAGAGGGAGGAGAGGTTGACAAAATAACTGGTGAAAGGTGAAACTAGCTGGAAAAAATGCTAAAATGGCCCCCTGGAGAAATAAGCCATTTTGTCAAAACAAGGCCTTGAAGATGCATATGGGCCCTCATGCTGTGACTTCCAAGTCACATTTATTCAGCTTACAACCCAAAATACGTTTCTTGTTACTTTTCAGCACTGCTGGCTGAGCTGAGCCTGGAAGGGTCTATTTGTATTCTTCCTGAAATATGCACTATCACCAACAACCAACCAATACTCACATTATAAAAATTATTATGCATGATGACATAGCACTACAAAAAAGTGATAACTTCATTTTTGTAAGTCAGGCTGCCCTAGTAGCAATTTTTAAAATACCTGTTTAGGCCAATAAAGTGGGAAAATTAAATGAAAACGATATGAAGAATGAAGCTGTCTATGCATGCTGACTCTTGAAGAAAACTGCAAATTCTATGCTAAAGCAGAGATAGCTGATGAAAAAGTAGATAGAGTGCTGAGCCTGGAATCAGGAAGACCTGAGTTCAAATTTTCCTCAAACACTTACTAGCTATATGACCCTGGAAAAACCACTTACCCTTTGTTGACCTCAGTTTCCAAAACTATAAAAATGGGAACAATAATAAGACCTACCTTTCAGGGTTGTTGTGAGGATCAAATGACATAATATTTGTAAAATATTTAGTTAGCACAGTTCCAGGGACACAGAAGGTGCTATATAAATGCTTTTTCCCTTCCCTTCTCTGCTTTCTCTCGAGATTTAAAAGACCGTATCTGAGAACTATTAAAAAAAATCAGACATTTTTTGCGAAGTAACACCACAAAATTCCATCTCTTAGATGAATGTTCTAATTGTGACATGTTTCTATGTGTCCTATCAATGCTAAAACAGCCTCCTTAAATAAGGACAAATAATTTAAAAAAAAAACAGCTGAATTATGAAAATGAAAGCTATAATTATTTTTTTAATCACACAAAGACTTTGGGATCAAAGAGTCATTTTATGAAACATAATTTCTAATAAGGTCTTTTTCCAAATGCTTTTAAATTTTTTCCCTACCTATTGTTAAGAGGAAAATTTAGTAGGAAAGTTAAAACTACAGTCACTTTTTACGTGTATATAATTAGTTACTTCTTTTTTATATATATTTGTGACTCACAAATTTATTTATATTTGTGCTCTTTAAAATTTTTTTAATTTTATTTTTCCCCAATTACATATAAAAACAATTTTTACATTCATTTTTAAAATTCTGAGTTCCAAATTCTCTCCATCCCCTGAGAGGATAAGCAACTTGATGTAAGTTATACATGTATAGTCATGCAAAACATTTTTCCATATTAGTCATGTTGTAAAAGAAAATATGGACAAAAAAAACTCAAGAAAAATGATGATCTGTATTCAGATACTATCAGCTCTTTCTCTGGGGATGGATAGCATTTCTCATCATAAGTCTTTCACAGTTGTCTTGGATCATTGTATTGCTGAGAAAAGCTAAGTCATTCACAGCTGATCCTCTTACAGTATTGCTGTTACTGTGTACAATGTTCTGGTTCTACTCATTTCATTTTGCATCAGTTCACATAAGTCTTTCCAAGTTTTTCTAAAAGCATCCTGTTCATTTCTTTCTTTCTTTCTTTTTTTTTTTTCCCACATTAGTCATGTTGTAAGGAAGAATCAGAACCAATAGGAGGAACCACAAGAAAAGATGAAACAAAACAAAGCAGAAGAGAAAAAAAGCAAATAGTATGCTTTGATCTGCATTCTAACTCCACAGTTCTTTCTCTGGATGTGGATAGTATTTTCCATGATGAGACTTTTAGAGATGTATTAGATCATTGCATTGCTGAGAAGAGCCAAGTCTATCAAAGTTAGTCATCAAATAACTTGGCTGTTACTGTGTACAATGTCTCAATTCACTCAGCATCAGTCCATACAAGTCTTTCCAGGTTTTTCTGAAGTCTGCCTGCTCATCATTTCTTATAGCACAATAGTATTCCATTACAATCATATACCACAACTTGTTCAGCCATTCCCCAATTGATAGGCATCCCCTCAATTTCCAATTCTTTGCCACCACAGAAAGAGCTGCTATAAATATAGTTGTACATGTGGATCCTTTTCCTATTTTTGTGATCTCTTTGGGATATAGCCCTAGGAGTGCTATTGCTGGATACATTTTTATAGGCCTTTGGGCATAGTTCCAAATTGCTCTCCAAAATGGCTGGATCATTTCATAACTCCACCAACAATGCATTAGTGTTCCAATTTTCCCCTATCTTCTCCAACATTTATCATTTTCCTGTTTTGTCATGTTGGCCAATCTGATAGGTGTGATGTGGTACCTCAGAGTTGTTTTGATTTGCATTTCTCTAATCAATAGTGATTTAGAACATTTTTTTCATATGACTGTAGATGGCTTTAATTTCTTCATCTGAAAACTGCCTGTTCGTATCCTTTGACCATTTATCAATTAGGGAATGACTAGTATTCTTATAAATTTGACTTAGTTCTCTATATATTTTAGAAATGAGGCCCTTATCAGAGAGACTGGTTGTAAAAATTCTTTCCCAATTTTCTACTTTACTTCTAATCTTGGTGGCATTGACTTTGTTTGTGCAAAAACTTTTCAATTTGATATAATCAAAATTATCCATTTTGCATTTCATGTTCTCTATCTCCTGTTTGGTCATGAATTCTTCTGTTCTCCATAAATCTGACAGGTAAACTATTCCTTGCTCTCCCAGTTTACTTACAGTATCAGCCTTTATATCTAAATCATGAACCCATTTTGACTTTATTTTGGTATATGGTATAAGATTTTGGTCTATGCCTAGTTTCTGCCATATTCTTTTATAGTTTTCCCAGCAGTTTTTTTTCAAAGAGTGAGTTCTTATCCCAGAAGCTGGGATCTTTGGGTTTATCAAATAGTAGATTACTATAGATATTGACTACTGTGTTTTGCATAGCTAACCTATTCCATTGATCCACCACTCTTATTTCTTAGCCAGTACCAAGCAGTTTTGATGATTGGTGCTTTATAATATAATTTAAGATCTGGAATGGCTAGGCCACCTTCCCTAGCATTTCTTTTCATTAGTTCCCTTGATATTCTGGACCTTATGTTCTTCCAGATGAATCTTGTTATTATTTTTTCTAACTCTATAAAATAATTTTTTGGTAGTTTGATTGGTATGGCACTGAATAAGTGAATTAGCTTAGGTAGAATTGTCATTTTTATTATATTAGCTCAGCCTACCCACAAGCAACTGACGTTTTTCCAATTATCTAGATCTGACTTTATTTGTGTGAAAAGTGTTTTGTAATTGTGTTCATATAGTTCCTGGGTTTGTTTTGGTAGGTAGACTCCTAAATATTTTATAATGTCTACAGTAACTTTAAATGGAATTTCTCTTCCTATCTCTTACTGTTGGGTTTTGTTGGTACTATATAGAAATGCTGATGATTTATTTATGTGGTTTTATTTTATAGCCTGCAACTTTGCTAAAATTGTTTATTATTTCAAGTAGTTTTTTACTTGATTCTCTAGGTTTCTCTAAGTATATCATCATATCATCTGCAAAGAGTTATAGCTTTGTTTATTCTTTGCCTATTCTAATACCTTCAATTTTATTTTCTTCT